GGGCTGGATTTGAACCTGCCACCTTAGGTGTATGTGGCTGGAGCCTTAGCCACTTGAGCCACAGGTGCCAAGCCTTAAATTACTATTCTTGTATACATACTTAATGAGAAAAAAATGCATCAAAATTCAGAACCCAAAGGATCAATTATTTTTTATTTATTTTTTATTTTTGAAGAGACAGAGTCTCACTTTATTGCCCTTGGTAGAGTACTATGGCATCACAACTCACAGCAACCTTCAGCTCCTGGGCTTAAGTGATTCTCTTGCCTCAGCCTCCCAAGTAGCTGGACTACAGGTGCCTGCCACAACACCCGGCTATTTTTTGGTTGTAGTTCGTCTGGGGCCAGGTTTGAACCTGCCACCTTCGGTATATGGGGCTGGCACCCCACTCACTGAGCACAAGCGATGCCCAGGATCAATTTTTTGCCTGCTAAAAACTGAGGTTGCTATGCTACAAATCGCCTTGAGATGAGTCAAGTACCAGCACTCAGCAGAAGACCCAAGGTCAGTTACTCATTTGGAACTAAACCAAAAAAAAGGGTCCTCTATAATTTTTGCAACAGCGGCCACTTTTTTTTTTTCAGAGTCAGCATTTCTCTGTCTGGCTCTTGAACAAATTTTTAAGAAATGGCTTTACTATGTTGGAAATTAACTGGAAACTATGTGCTGCCTACAGGCCCCAGAGTTCTGGGAAAGTTGAAAGAATGAATAGAATATTAAAGGCTAGTATAAAGAAAATATGCCGGCTCGGCACCTGCAGCTCCAAGGCTAGGGCACCAGCCACATATACTGGAGCTGGTGGGTTAGAATCCAGCCTGAGCCTGCCAAACAATGACAACTACAACCAAAAAAAAAAAAAAAAAAAATAGTAGGCACGGTGGTGGGCGCCTGTCATCCCAATAACTTGGGAGGCTGAGGCAAGAGAATCACTTCAGCCCAAGAGTTTGAGGTTGCTGTTGAGATGGTGGCCCAGTGGGCCAGGGGCCCAGATTCCCCATTCCCCTTCCCCAGGAAACAGGAATGGGAGGGGAGGCTGAGCAGGGGATACATGGGATGAGGACTTGAAGAACACAGACAAGACAAGGCCTTGCTGACTTCATGGTACACACACAGGCAGGATAAGGTCATGCTGAC